GGTTTCGGCTGGCGGCGCGAGCATTGAGGACGGCCCTGCCTCGCTTCTCCCCTTGGGGCCCCTTCTCAGGAATCCCCCGGGCCCCGCTGCAGAAGCCCTTGGGGGGGGGGGGGGGGGGGGCCCGCGGCGGCGCGAGTGCGCCCGCCGATTCGCCTAGTTTTCGCGGAGCGGCCAGCCATTTGGTCGCCTTGCAGGTTTGTGTCGTTTCGTCTCGCCGCTCGAGCTCGCCCGATCGGTCTGGGTCGGTGGCCCCCGATTGTCCCCTGGCCCCTTCGCTGCGCCGTCTTCCGCAGGTGATGGCACAGGGGTTCCCGGAGTGGCGAGCGGCTAGCTGTTCTCGCCACCATCTTTGGATTTCGCATTTGCACACGCTGTCGTTGCTATGCGAGAGCGATCGGAGGCAAGCACAGAGGCTTGTCCGCATAATGCAAGCTACCAGAGAGCGCTCGTGGCGTGCAGTTCCGCCTCGTGAAGGTCGAAAGGATCGGGCTCGGGTTGCCGCCGAAGGAGGTGCCGCGCGCGCACGCGCACGCGCGTTCGCGCGCACAGCGTCGAGAGGATCAGGCTCGGGTTGACGCGCGGGCGCGCGCACGCGCACGCGCGCGCACACGCGCGCGCACGCGCGCGCGCACTCGCGCGCACGCGCGCGCCCGCGCGCGCGCACACGGGCACGCATACGCACGCGCGCAGTCGTTCGCGCGCAAAGCACACGCACACGCACAAGCACTCGCGCACCCACGCGCTCACAAAAAGGCACGCGCACGCGCACACGCGCGCGCGCACGCGCACGCGCCCACGCACACGCACACGCGCTCGCACGCGCGAGCGCACGCGCACACGCACACGCGCACGCACGCGCGCGCACGCGCACACGCACGCGCGCACGCGCAATCGCGCACGCACGTGCACGCGCACATGCGCACGCACACACACGCACGCGCGCGCACGCGCGAACGCACTAGCTCACGCACGCGCACACGCACGCGCGCACGCACGCGCAAGCGCACGCGCACGCGCACACGCACACGCACCATTGCACACGCACGCGCACGCGCACACGCACACGCACACGCATTCGCACACGCACGCGCAACTGCTCACGCACACACACACACACATACGCACACGCATGCGCACACGCACGCGCACACGCACACCCGCTCCCGCACGCGCGCGCGTGCACACGCACACGCACACGCACGCGCCCACGCATACGCCCACGCACACGCACGCGCGCACGCACAAGCACACGCGCACGCACACGCACGCGCTAACGCACAAGCACGCGCACAGGCACGTGCGCGCACACGCAGACGCATGCGCACTGGCCACTGGCGCGGCGTTGTCACAGGCTGTCAATGCTGATGCCAGCGCGACCTCTCAGCCGCGCTCGGGGGGCCTCTTCTGGTGCATGTTGAAGCGTTGCGAGCAGATCCCGCTGGTTATGCTTGAACAGCGCGGTCGCAGGCTTAACCTTCAACCGGTGCTGGTCGGAGCCTGCTCATGTGCCGACCGCTCGGCCAGTTTCATGGTCTTATTCGGTGTGGTGGCTCCTGCTCCGTATGAGCAGTGCGGACTCGTTGCGGGGTGTAGTATGGCTGCGACCTTGATCGTGGAGTTTGGCACTGGGTCGTTTGATTCGGATCCACTGGCTCCCAGCAGCACTCTGAACGTTTACATGTGTGGTCCAGGCCTCGACTGCGAAGGCTCTTTGTCGCGCTCCGCGTTTAGTTTGCTGCGGTTAGCCGCAGCCCTTTGGGGTCGCTATCGCGGATGTGGTGCGGGCCCGCATGTCCATGGATGAGGTTGCGTTTGCGTCGCCATCCACGTCTGCGCCCTCCCGTCTCCAGGAGTAGTTCGGGGGGCCTCGGGGGGCCGTGTAAGGGGGCCGCGGATAATTTGGAGATCGCGGCGGGGGCGCCGCGCGGGATCTTCGGCCGAGCTAAGGCGAAGGCTTGGCTCTCGGCGGCTGCCAGCAGGACTCGTCGCGTTGCCGAGCGCCGCCGTGTCCTTGGCCGTGGAGCGGCCAAGGCTTTCATCAAAGGCCCGATGGCGGGCCTGCAGCGCGGCCTCGAAGCCCGCGGGGCGACGGGCGGGGAGCTAGCCACAGTTTGCTGATAGTGCGCTTCGATTATGAAGCAGTCCAGTGGGAGGCGGAGTTGAACGATGTCGGTTCGCATGGAGAACGACGTGATTCAGCTTGGCAGTGTTGGTTAGTTTCTGCTGCATAGCAGGGAATTGTGGTTGCTCCAGACCCGCGCTACACAGCTGGCTTTCTTGGGGGCATATTCGGCGGGCGTGGGGAACTACGCGGCGCGCGCCACTAAAGTCTTGGAGGTCTGTTCGCGGGCCTTCGCGGGCGATGCTTCAGTTGACGCGCGTTGCTTGGAGTGCGTTGGAGCGGCTCGGGACGGGGCGCGATGGCGGAACATGGCTTCCTCTCTTGCCCCTCTCTCCCCCGCCTGAAGCAGTGTTTGATGGCCGCCGTCGGCGCGAGGTTCGAGGTGGGGGCGGGGTCGAGGTGCAGCGACGGCCATCGCTTGTGCTGTGATGTCGTTTCTCGGGCCCTGGCCTTTAAAAAAAATGGCGCCTGATCAGGGAGGGGTCGGCCGTGCCGTAGAGCGCCGCGCCTTATGGCCCCTCGGCATAGCTTTGGCCAATGGCTATGGTGTTGACGGAGGTTGTTTTCGATTCGGGCAGGTTGGGGACGCGGTTCTTCGCCGTCTCTGGCGCTGCCTTGCGCGCGAGGAGGGGCGAGTCAGCATTGTTGGTGATGACGTGCTGGCCAGATTGCGCGCGGGGGTCGCGGGCCCGCCCCCAGGTTTCGAGCTGCTGTGCAAAACAGGCTTCGGCCAGAATCCAGCCCTGGGTACTCCCTCGCCGCTCTCGCGAGAAGACGCATTGCAGGCCTTGCTGTTTCCATATTTTCCCCGAGGTTGTTGCCGAGGAGCACCTCCCTCCGCCTGGCCCAGTGGTGACGGGGCTTTCGGGGCAACTCTATGGCGATGGTTCGTGCCGTGGTCTGCGGTCAAATGCCCCTCCCGTCAGGGTTTGGGAGTGGTCTGACTCGGTGAGGCCCGGCCCTCGGGGAGGTTTCTACCCGCGGGGTTTTCTGGATGCGGAGTTCGCCACTCCAGCCAGATTGGCGCCGCTCCTAGGCGCCTCGTCTGGATGCGGAGTTCGCCGCCCCAGCCGCACTTGCATCGCTCCCAGGAGCCGCTGCTGACATTTATTCGGAATGCCAGGTTGTCGCCAACTGGTATTCCAAAAACTTCTGGGACCATCTGCGTCCCAATCGGCCCTGCATCGGGCTCGTGATCCACATTAATGTTTTCGGCCAGGGTTTGTTGTGTGTAAGGTCTGACACTGCAGCTCAAGAGTGTGCCATGATGCATCCCGGAAGGTGTGCCGCCGAGCCGAGTGCACGACTGGAGGTCAAGTGCGGCGGCTTGCTCAACAGTGTTTGGGCAGGCTGCCTGCTCCAAACCCTGTTCGGGCGAAGTTGAGCAAATATCTCCCCCTGCTACAAGAAGGTCGGGATCACTGCCGATCCCGAGATGATCTGCCACTTGTGACAGCGGGCTTGTGGTTGTGGATGCTTAAAACATGAAAGGTAATGGTTTCGTAAGCCTAATGTGAGCGTCTGTTCGGGCAGGAGGGAGGCGAGCAGAAGAAGAGGTGGGCGGAAGCGGAAGAGGGGGGTGGAGTGGGCAGGGGAGGGGCGATAGAAGGAGGAAGGAGGTGGAGGAGTGCGCGGGGCTATGTTGAACGAGTAGGGCTGGAAAGACGAGGGCGAGTGTCAGAGTGAGTTAGAAAAGGTGGAGGAACATTGGATGATGGGTGGTGGTGTGAAGGGGCGACGGGCGAGGATCAGAGAAATGACGTGAGGGATGGGGATGGGTAGGCATGAAGGGGGTATTCAATGATGGAGGGACGATGGCCGACGAGAACGATTGAGTGAAAGACGGCGGCGTTCGATGAAACGTTGGAAATGCTGGTGGCAGTGTGCCAGCGCCAAAAACATGCGAGGTCACCCACGCAGGTTTTCTTCTGGCACTCTTGTAGAAATCCGCCCAGGGCCCAAAAAGGCCACCCAAAACCGTGGAAGCCGACCGCAGCCACCGGAGACAGGCGAACATTCCCGAGGTCATTCGAAGGCCATCGAGCTGTTTCGCAAGGCATCGAGAGCTTCCGAAGCCATTTTACAGCCTCGGGAGCCCTCGAAGCCTTTCGACCGAAGCACCCAGAGCCCCCGAAACCTCTCGAGGGCATCGAGAGTCCCTGAGAAGTCCTTCGACCGATCTCCCGCTGCTGCCCAGAGGCGCGCGATGGCGCACGGACATTTCTCGCACGCGTGGGGTGGTCGCGGCCCGCCTGTGGCGCCGCAGCCTCTGAGGTGCCCCCCCTCTCTGCCCCCCCCCCCCCCCCGCAGGGACTGCTCGACCGATCCTGCGATGCAGTCGTGGCGGGCCCCCAAATAATATACACCACCACCACGTCGGTTCCTCCTGTCTCCTCTTTCCAGCGAGAGGGAAGGGGGGAGGGAGGGGGTGGTGGTGTATATTTTGGGCCCCCCTATCGTGGCACTGCCAGGATCAGCAACTTGGGGCTCAGGAGGGGTTCGGGTTGTCGGGCCGCTCCTCGGGGCTCGGTCGGGGAGCCTGCTCGTGGCCGAGGCCCGCCGTGGCCAGGAAGGGCCCGGCGGTCCTTCTTCCATCGCTCCTCCTCGCAGTGCCATGACTGTGGGTGATCCCTCACCATGCACTTGTTTTCGCAAACCAAAAAACCCATACACATTTTTTGTATTCACGTTTTTTTTGTTTGTTCTTTTTCTTTTTAATTTGTTGTTTAAACTCTCACCTCGCTGCAACACGACTACATGACCTCACCACTCGCTTCATATGAAAATTCGTCTGCCCTCCTGGTGGCCGCTCTGGCATCGGAGTGGGCACGCTGACCGATGTACCGATTTACTCTGCCTTGCCCTCCCCTGCCCACAGGCACGGCGGCCCCGACCACAACGTCGCGGACGCTGCGTGAGGGGCGCCGGTGGGTGCCGCGCCTCCGCGCTTGGAGCGACCGCGTCGCACGGGTGCGCTGCCGCGCATGTTCGGCGGAGGCCGCGAGCGCCCACCCGTAGCAGCGAGAGGAGAGGGGAGTGGAAAGCAGCCGGGTCTGCGTGAGCATCGCATGCGCCCGAACTGATAGAAAAGGGGGGCGCTCCAATGGTGAGGAGAGGGGGGCCGTACGGGGAGGCCGAGCGTAGATCCCAGAGCGCAGCGGTGCCCTCGGTGCCCACTGCGGAGGGCCAGGCATCGGCGCAGGCCGTGGCTGGAAGCGCGGCCCTTTTGCAGCCGTTCCTGGGCACTGCGTCGCCCTGGGGGGGGCCTTTGGTCAAGGAGCCCAGACGGGGGGGGGGGGACTGGTTACCAGTTTGAAACGTCTCCCTATCCCTATGTTTGGCATCGCCTTACCGCGATGCCGATCTCAAGGATTTCCGTAGTTTCTTAGGGCTCATCCCTAAGACCGTCATCGCGTTTTGCTTGCCGATCTCAGGGATAGGGATGAGTTCGAGTCTGGTAGTACTGGCCCAGGAGATGGGCAACGACCTCCCAAACTCGCCCAGTCCAGGTCGGCCGATCGGGGCCTTGGTGCCGCATCCCGCCCAGGAGCGTGGGATTCTGCCGTCGGGGGCCCGTCGTCGGCTCCAGGTCGGCGCTTCCCGCTTCCCCCTGAGCAGGCCCCCGCCTTTCAGCTGCCCCCCTCTCGCGCGGCGCGCGGGGGAGGGCGGTGATGTGATCCTTCCTCTCTGCTCTGCTGTCTCGCAGGGTGGGGGGGGGGGGCGAAGGGGTGTGGATGGTGAGGGGTGCAACGGGGGGGTGGGGGTGGAGAGGGGGGGTGGAGTGGGAGGGGTGGCGAGGGGGGGTGGAGTGGGAGGGGTGGAGAGGGTGGGGGGTGGAAGGGGGCGTGGAGGGGGGGAAGGCGAATGCGAAAGGGAGGGAGTGGAGGGGAGGGAGTGGAGGTGCGGGGAGTGGGGGGGATGGTTTACCCATTCTGTCCGGCCCCCGTCCAGACCCAGGGGAGAGGGTAGGTAGGTGGGTCGCGGGTTGGGTCGCAGGTGGGTCGCGGGTTGGTCGATGGTGGGTCGCGGGATACTCGCGGGCCAGGTGGCGGGTGGGTCGCGGGTGGGTCGCGGGTGGGTCGCGAGCGGGTCGCGGGGTGGGTCGCGGGTGGGTCGCGGGATGGGTCGCGGGTGGGTCGCGGGCCGGGTCGCGGGGGGGACGACAACAATGACAGCAACATTAACAACAAACAACAACAATCATTCTCAGATTGTTCTCTCTTATTTGCCCGCGTGTCATTCAAAACGAGTTCCCCACACCCTCGATACCCGCCCTTCTTGTCTTCGATCACACCCACTTTGGGGGGATTCTTTCTCTGTGCGGGGGGCGGCGGGCTAAGACAGGCGGGCAAATCTGAACGGGCGGTCAATCCTTCGTGGGCGTACATGTGCCCGCCATTGGAATTGGTGTGGGCCCTGCAAAAAGAGGAGGGGGAGAACGAGGGAGAGTGGGGGGAAGGAAAGGGGGAGGGACGAAGGGAGAGGGTCAACGCCAGGACAGAAGGAGCGAAGACGGGGGCGGTTGATTAGAGGCAGAGAGAGAGGGAGAGAGAGAGAGAAATAGAAACATAAAGAAAGAGAACAACATATAAGAGAGAGAGAGAAAGAGATATAGAGAGAGGGGAAAGAGAGAGAGAGAGAGACACACACACAAAAACACAAAAAAGGAGGGAGGAGGCAGGAGAGGGGAGGGAGAAGGAGGGAGAAGGAGGGAGGGGGGATAGAGCAGAGAGGCATAATAATGAGGAAAAAGAGGAGGTAGAGAGAAGGAAGGAGAGGAGGGAGGAGTGAGGAGGGAGAGGGGGGAGGAGCAGGAAGATATGAGCGTGAATGTTCGAGGAAGTCCTCGGCGAAAGCGCCGTTCCTGAAGGAAGTCTCGGGCGGGAGCCCACGACGAGCGGGCGATCCTGTGACGGGCGGGTCGGGCGGGTGGGACATTCAAGCGGGATGCCTGAGTATGGCGAGAGCGCGGTTACTCAATAAATTGTAGCGGCGTCCTGGGCGCAGCGTGTTTCCTGAGCTTCGAAAGCGCGATTTCTGAATCAATTGCATGGAAGTCGCAGGCGGGATCGCAATTCCGGAATAAAATATAAAGGGTTCTCTGGCGGGAGCGTGGGTCTTAATTCAATTGTGAGGAAATCTGTATTCAATTGCGGGGAAGCCTCAAGCGGGAGCGCCGTTCCTGAATAAAGTGTGAGAACGTCTCAGATGGGAGCGGGGGTCCTGATTAAATTGAGAGGAAGTCACAGGCGGGAGAAAGCGAGAGCGATAGAAAGCGACAGCAAGGCCAAGAAGGACCCGATGTAGGCCACGAGGGCGACAGCGGGGACACGAAGGGAATGCATATGGGGCCGCGAAGAGCGCGAACGAGCGGGGGCCATGAAGGGCAAATAATGCGGGGCCACAGAAGGCAACGATGGGGCCACTGAGAGTAGCAACTGGGCCACGTAGGACACTGAGGGGACCATAAACGGCGACAGCGGGGCCACGAAGGGCATGCACATGGGGCCACACAGTA